TGGCGGTTACGTCGGGTGATTCGACCGGGATTTGCATCCAGCTGTCTTGCGCGATGGTGTGGTGTATGAGCATGAGTGATCTGGTGATGTTGCGGTTCCTTCGGTGGGTGCTAGGGTATATTGAAATCCAGGTGTGATTCGCCCTCGAGTTTCCTAGGAAGTCGAGGTACGGTTCTTGTGCGAGCCCTACTCCGAATTTCGATCTGTTCAGTGAGATCAGCCAGTCTTGCTGTGCGGTGTTCGATCGGCACAGATTTTGTGACCAAAAACTTATCGTTCCCCCCTCCGTGTTCGTTTCGTTGGTTGTGTCGTTCATGCCCATCCCGCGCCGCGTCCCGTTTCATCAAACTGTACCGCGTCCCATCCGTCGTGTGGGGTGAGCCAGCCCCCGGTGTCCTTTTGATGGAAGCCGAAGTCGTGCAGTGAGGCCTGTTCTTCCCGTTGCTGTTGCGTCGGAGTTATGCGTTGCGGTCTGCCCTGTGTCATTTTCCCCCATCCGTTGTCTGTCGGCGGCGGTAAGAACCCGCGTTTCTTTCGGTTCACCTCCGCCCATCCGTCTTCGTGTTGCGAGTGGTTGCGCTCCCACGTATCCGGAGTGTCGGTGACGAAGAACCTGTAATCGTTTTCAGCGTTCCGTGCTTGGTATTCCCGGTTCTTAGCTTTGAAGGTCGAGCAGTCGCGGCTCCATGACGCGTGTCCTTTCGTTCGGCAGTTGACGCAGTAGTGCTTCTCGCGATCGTTGGCGAGGTCGCAAGCCTTCGTGGCGTGTTCGATGCTGCCGCATGTTCCGCAAGTGTCGTGTACTGACTGGCACTGCGCCGCGAAGTGTCTGCCGATGAGCTGGCATTTGTTGCATCTGGTGATTTCTTTGATCAGTCTCCGAACTATGCATCTCTTTCCGCGCACTGTGATTCCGAATCCGATAGCTTCGTTAGCGATCTTCTCCGTGCGCAGCGTTGCGGCGAGGTGCGCAGACGTTTGTTGCGGGTGTCGCCTGGTTGGGTCTTTGATCCATCTTACTCGGATGATGTCCTGTTCTTCCCAGCCGTTCGCTCTTGCTACCTTGGTGACCTCGTCGTCGTCGTCGGGGTTGAAGTAGAGCGGTGCGTTTTCTATGAGGACTGCGTATCCGGGTGCTTTGATGGTTGCGCTGTTTCCAAAGTTCTCAGCCAGTCTCTTGCTTGCGTGCGTACCTCTCGCCCATTTGGCTGCTTCCGCGCTGTTGAGCTCGAGTTCGATGCCTCCGTTGCGCATCTTCCTTGCGCTGACGAATCTGGTTCCGTCCGGCATCCCTTCTCCTTCTCCGCCACACATATCTAGTGCCAGATTTGCCTTGGCGACGAGTTCCTCTTCGTTCAGAGATTTGATGGATTCCCCTTCGGTGTCGACGATGATGCGGGTGCTGCGAGACATGTTCCTGCGTATGATCTCCGGTCTGGGTCTGTCCTCCGTGTCGGGTCTTCGTGCTGCTGCCGCTGCATATGAGTCCGTCGGTGGTGGATTCGTGTTTGCTGTCGAGTGTTGTTGGGAGGCTGTTTGGTTGGTCACCGCTCTCGTTATGTCCTCGATGGCCCCTCTGGTCTGATCTCGTATGAATTCGTCGGCGTCGCCTAGTTGTTCGATTGTCTCTCCTATCTTCGTGTCGTGGGCGCGTAGTTTCTCGATGTGGTCGCCGAGTGTCGTGTTCTGCTCCTTAAGAGTATTCAGTAGCTCCCCCATATCCTTCATTTTCTCTTCCATCCTTTCCGCCATCTTGTCTCCCCTGCACTCATTAATGAGGTATGCGAACGCACGAAGGTTTGTTGCGAGTCTTGAGAGTGGATCGCCCGCGGCCTGGTGCATCATATCTGCTATCGAGTCTAGCGTGACTGTTGCGCGATTCTTAATGTGTCCTCCTTGTTCGAGATAGTCTCTGGCTTCCTGCGCGTTCGTTATCTGCTGGTAATCCCTCAGTGTAGACTGTTGTGTTGCCGGGTGGGACTCATCTTCCGTTGTAGCAGCGCTGCGCCGCGCCGCCGCTCTGGGCGGTTGCGTTCTCGAGCTCATTACGAACTCGGTCTCTCCTTGCTTTCTAAACTAGTCTATGTGCTTGTACGGTGCGTTCTTTAGCAGAAATGTGTAGTTAAAGTGCAGTATGCTACTCTAATTAGGCTCCGGTGCCACACCCGTTACGAGGTGGTGGTGGTGGCCTGAGAAAAGAGTCCCTCACAACCATGTAAGGATCCACACTACGCCAATTCCGAACCTTCAGAACCAGAGGGCCGGAGGACTTGACATATGGCATCTGGAGTTCGGGTACGTATCTACCCGTTGGAAGCTCCAGATCGCGAACCGGAGGATTTCATGACGCCGAATGCGGCATAGTTAGTCAAAGCACGTTTGCTGCAGCGCAAGCAGTAAGAAGAGCTGGCATGCTGCGAGATCGATGCGCTCACGCGAGGAGCAAACGACTTGTACATCGACTCAACCCTCAAACACAGCGAGATCCAGTTCATGTTGTATATTATCATAACGAACAACAACATGCGAAAGATACGACATGGATTTCTACCAAAAGCCGTAGCGGCGAATGAACATGCACTCACCGATTGCAGCGTCTCGGGACCCAGATGATCTGCCCTTGTCACTTCATTTGCGGCATTCGTTCAAGAGCGCTGAAAGCTGTATCTTCATGGATGGCAACAGGGACCATAGCTGCCACCGAACGCGATCGTGAGAGCACTTGCGTTGACGCCAATTAACTAGCTGCGCTTTGCTGTTCATGTTACGGCGTGCGCCAACGGTCCAAGCTCGCGCCGAAGACCATCGAGTCCTACGGTATTTTGTCTTCGTGTGGCGTAGGGACCGCGTGAAAAGAGGAATGAGGGTGCTACCCGTCTCATATACGCGCGTGGTCTAGCCCCCAACGTTCAGATCTTCGCAACCCACAACGGGAACGTGGCGATCCCTGACATATTTGCCGCTGATCGCGAAAGCGACATCAGATTATAACACTTCGCAAAATCTCACCTTTCTCGTCACAGACGACGATATCAGGGGGTCGGTATTCTACGTTGTTCGTATTCATGCTTCTGTCCTTGACCTTGCAAGAATTGACACTAGCACGGGCGATGCGACCCGGTACAGGAGACGACTTTCTGCTACCGACGGCCCAGACGGAAGGTCTTCATGATTGGATATAACATGGTATCTTCGAGCACGATTTCAAGAAGCGGAGAAACTTGGTAAACTTGGGCTTTGAGCAACGGGGCATCGCGACTCTTCGTCCTTGCCACTCCATCTTCGCCCGATACCCTAGACATCCGGACGAAGCAGCAACGGCAGCTGTCATGGTACCTCACCACCTAGAATCGCCGTTCGCGGGTGCCTCGTAGTCACGGCCACGAGGGCTGGATGCCCCACCTCGAGGGGGGCTCCTGGAGTAGCTCCGGCGCCTCCTATACTCCGGCGAGTACCCGCGACGAGGCGGAGGGGAACCACGGCGGTCCCGCCAGTCACGGTCGTCACGCCCGTACGGGTCCCGGTCGCGACGGTCACGGTCGTCGCGGTCATGGTCCCTGTCACGACCATACCGCTCGCGGTCGTTGTCACGATAATCACGGTCGCGGTACGAATCGCGACCGCCGTATCCATCACGACGGCGGCGATGGCCCATGTATTCGCCGGGGGTAGGAGCGTGAGGACGCTCGGTCACCGAGTAGTCCACGCGGATACGACGGCCATTGAGGTCCTTAAGTATCGATCAGTGCGCTGTTAGCTTTCAGTGATATAAACACTGACGACGCCGTTGAGGTTTTCAATAGCTTTGGTAGCATCTTCGACGGTGGCCATCTTGATGAAACCGAAACCGCGCGAGCGGCCAGACTGCTGTGGTTATGAGCACGTGACATGCTGCGCTCGTGGTTGATGGAACACTGACTCGTTGATCGTAGACGATGGTAACCTTTTCCACCTGGCCAAAGCGACTGAACTCGTCGTCAAGATCGCGCTCCTGGGTGCGGATGCTGAGGCCAAAGACACCGAGGACGCTGCTCGGAGGAGGCGCCTGCCGGACACGTTGGTCAGCTCGGGCAGGCGGAGCATTGTCGGAACCCACGTGGGGCGCATGGGTAGGTCTCTTCGGAGGAGGTGAGCGGCGACTGTAAGGGCTTCGGTAGCCAGGGCTGCGACGCCCTGGGCTGCGCGATCTGGAGCGGCGGGGCGCGTCGCGGTCCCTGTCCGACGCGGGAGGATCCGCGGGCGGCGCGTTGTATTCGTCCGTGTAAGGATCCAAAGGAGGAGCTGTAGAGTCGCCGCCGTACTGGAAAGGCGTTCAGCGCTGGCAAAACGACAGACGAGTGAGACGCGTCACATACCATGGTCGTGGTTGGTAAGAGAAACGTGAGGCGTGGGAACACGCGCCTGTTTATTATTACTCGGACCAAAATGAGCTCCGAACCAACGGTTCCAACTCCGCTTTCCCTATCGTGAGAACTGTAAAGAATAGAGTTCAGCAAGCCTCACTTTCCGTTTTCGATCCGACTTCACGCCAACAGCCCGGCCTTCAGCAAGATGGTGCGCTCGCCATTGTCGACGTTCTGCTGCACGAATTTCTGACCGACTATGTGTAGGGTATTGATATCGCCAAGCATCACGTCAAGAAGGGTCAAAGGACGGCGCCCAAGAGCGAGGATCCCTACCTGCTCTTGCTGGTCAAGGTACGTCGTTCTCACTCATGGCTAAAACCCCAGCTAATGTCAAGTTTAGCTGTACCGTTTCCTTGCCCGCCGCACCGACTCGGGCTTCAACAAGGTCCGTATCGAAGCAGCCGGTCCTGTACTGGGGGCTGACCGTTGTTCCCATATAGGTCATCCTCCACCGCCTTTTCCTCTCCAAGACCAACCGCCCGCCGGTCTCCCTTTCCAAGATTGTGAAGGAAACCGAGGGTGCCACGGACCTCGACTCGAAGATAATCGTTCAAGTCGGCACCGTCACCGACGATGTTCGTCTCCTGACGGTCCCCGAGTTGACCATCGCGGCACTGCGGTTCACCGCTGGCGCCAAGGCCCGCATCCTCGCAGCTGGCGGCGAAGTCCTGACACTCGACCAGCTTGCCGTACGCGCGCCAACAGGCTCGAACACCATCCTCCTTCGTGGCAAGAGGAACAGCCGCGAAGCTGCCAAGCACTTCGGCATGGGTACGTGTGGGATGCTGACATCGTCACCAATATGCATTGACGGAACTCGTCCCAGGCCCGCACAAGCACAAGAAGCCTTACACGATCTCCAAGGGTCGCAAGTTCGAGCGTGCTCGTGGTCGCCGAAAGTCCCGTGGTTTCAAGGTTTAAGCGCCTGGTGTCTCTGGGACACAAAATGCCGGTACCCGGGAAAGAGTTTCGGCAGCAGACGGTCTTTTCTTGTGGCGCCTCCGATTCATGGCAAGTCTGCATGTATTCATGGCACTTTATGCATTATATGCTTTCGGCTATTTGCTACTTCAGCAACGAAAATCGGGTGCGGCTAGACGTGTATCCAACTTATCTGAGGGCAATCATGTTTCGCATACTGCCATCTCAATAAGCTCCCTCGGCGCTAATCTGCTATATGAGCCCTACAGATGCATGCGCCAGAGTCCACGTGTTGCTGAGCCATGCTATTATCACCCTTCGATCATGCATAGCCCCGTGCACCCAAACGTTTTCGCTCTGTCGCAGATGCGACTTATCGGAACATGGATCCAATCCAGAGCGGAATGAACCTGTCACCATCGCTTACTTCATGTTACAGCGACGCGGCATGCATTGCCATCCCCAGGTTCTGTCGATTAACCGCCCTCCATAAGTAGCGGACCGCTGCTGCTGCCTGATAGTGGGATTCGACAGTGCCTCCCACCCACGACAGTTCGCACGTTCTTGGACGGTAGGTGCGGTCCCTACGATTGTGCGTCGGCCTCGAGGCATGGCTAATCGTTGATAGCAGAATCTCTTCCGGGTTCGCGCGATGGAACGATGGACGATGAATCCGACTGATCCAGAAGATTGCGGTCCCTATGTTGGGTCACTCCAAACCCCAGGATTGCTACCGGCAAGCGCCAGCTCCTGGGCATCTGACGAAGGCCCGCTGCTGCATACGCCACCTGGCCTTCCAGCTTCGCGCCATACAATCGCCTACGCCCATATCAGCGTTGGTGATGATTACAGCCCTGGACCTTTCCGTGACCGATTTGACACAGGCTACGATGCCCTCGATGATCTCGGAAAAGGCTGGCTGGGACCGGTGCCGGACAAGAAGACATCTCTTTTACGATCTACACGCCCACGAGCGACATCCTCACCTCATCATGTGGTGATCTCCTCCAAGCATGTCTCCCGGGGAATACCTGCACCGACCGCACCGCGCGCTCGGAAGTCAAAGTGGACGCAGATATCCAAGACGTGGCTATGGGACAAATCTCTCGGGCGCGTCGACATGGTTATCTGGCATTGTCTCGTTGTTGTCATGATTCCGGGTTTCTTTGGTCTCGCAGTGAAGCTGATCCATGACATCTCGGTGACCCAAGCTCGTCTGCTTGTAGCTATTCCATGCTCGGCATTCGGCATACTCGCTGGATTCACAATCACCGAACTCGCACAACCATGGCTTGAGGCCGCTCGTCAGTGTTTCATCATTATGGCTTCGCAGGCAATGTTACTTACCGGGAGTCGTCGGAACAGAACGTCGGTTCATACTCCAGAACAGCCAGTTGGAAAGTCATCGAATGACGGCATCTAAAGCGATGGACTTGATGACCAGCCCAAAGGGCTTTAAAGCTGCGATCAGCCTGATATTGCGCCGTCTGAGATATAGCGATGAAATTAGCCAGCAAGATTACCTGAGGTAAATGTTGTATCGCATCACACAGACACCAACTAAATGAGGCAATCTTGCAGCGGGCCAGGGATTGGTAGCATACTATTCTTTGTCTTACTCTTCTTGGTTGGCCAGTGTATCAGCTTTGCTCTGGGTCGAGCCGTCATCATCGACACAGTCGTAAAGGTAAAGTCCTGACAACACGAGCTCTTGGGTCATTGTGCTGAGATGTAACAGCACCAGGAAAGAACGGCTAAACTCGTAGCTGTCGCTGCAGACCTCGCTGCGATCGATGTGGTGAGAGCAAACACTTCACAGGCAGCCTTCAATGTGAGCTTTTCACGTAGTGAACAGCAAGACCAAGCTAACATCGTTCATACTAGGAATTCCCCAGCACGTGGACCTTCTATTCCACGGCGATCGGGTCTGGCTTATCCAGAAATGTTTCTTTTCAACTCACTGGCGATTTAGCCCACGAATTGGGTAACGACACGGTCTACTTCGCGGAACTCGAGCCATCTCAGATGATGCCAGGAGGATCAGGTTTAGGTACCTTTGAGTCTAACCAGGCGACCCAACCGGACATGAGCCGCGCCTCTGCTCTCAATCCCTCTCAAGCAACTGGTCTAGGGAACCTACTTCGGTATGTTAGACTTGACCAAACCGCTTGACCAAGCCGTCGCTAGCGCGTCTCAATTCGCGTGTTTGTATAGGTTTCCTCGATGGGGCATACGTATCCACTGCCAAAGGCTTCCTGATCCTTTGCAAAACCTGTGCGTGCACGGTGTATCCTCCGTCTCGGGTTAGGAGCGCTTTATGACATTGACTATGCTTTCACCCCAGGGTTCCCGTGTCAGAGGCCGGCCTCACATACCTCTACATCACCCGCAATCTCGTTCAGGCGCTGTACCAGTCATTCAATCTCCATTTCCCAGATACACTCGCGAGGAGAGTTTTCAACTCGAGCCTGGTCTTAGCTCCAGGCGATACCATGCCACCGGGTCTGCACACCAGTGATATTCTATACGGCGGTTTGTATGTTCCTGCCCTGGAACAATTGCGCATGGTTGACGTGTACACCGCGTAACAGTACAATTCTCCAATAACGGAGTTGGTCACTCTCTATTCAGTACCCCTATTGATCAGGGTGACGCAGGCAACGGCTGGCAATCAATCGAGGCTGTCTTGATTCGGTGAGGTTTTCACACATCTGTATACAAACCATAGTATATGTACTGACGCGGGTCCAGGCTCAATAATACCTACGCTACTTCCCCTCGGTTCCCAGTGTATGGGCCCGAGTCCAACGGCACAATGAGTCTGATAGGTAGCCATATTGTTATCACAAGTACTCGTGGATCATTGACGTTAGGGACGCGTCAGGTTACGACGCGGCCGTGTGCCTCAGGCTCGTCGAACCCTGGATCGTGGAAGCATATAACAGCACAGTCACCGCCCCTAGCTCGCTGCGTCTCGTCTCCAAGCAAGCCGCCAACGGGACTGTTGGTACCGAAGACGACACACCTGTACTACTCAACTCCACCGGCAAGTTTCCCGCCTATGTAGCTGCACACGACAACTCCGTGAACCAGATCGACAAGGTATGGAACAGGAGTGCATTGTTATCACAGTCATTCACCAAAACTTTGCAGGATAATGGACGAGACGCATTCTACGTGCCATCACCCACAGTGAGTTCTTCTCCCCCATTTTCGAACGCGAATTCATTTCAGTGCCTGCTACACAGATGGTGTCTTTCACAGATGGGTCCGGACCTGGCGGTTACACTGAGCTGATCCCCGAGCGAGTTGCCGAAACTCGTGCGCTCGCGGATTCGCTCAATCTCCTGCCCTACCTTACGGGGTCAGGGAAATTGTTCGCTACGTCGTTTAGGGACAAAACCTACGCTTCCGCCAGGGTCGACTGGATGATCATGGGGTTGGTCGCTGGCGTCCTTCTGTTACTCGGTCTTCTTGCATGGGCCCTACCACATGGTCATCCAAACGGGATGGAAGTTCAGCCGCGAAAGATGAGAGCCAACTCAGCCAGGGAGACTTTCCCATTGTATCGCAGAGGATGTCAGGATGATAGCCTCGGCACCATTATTGACTGACGGGATGATTATTCCTTGGCCTACTTCATGGGTGAAGAGGGATACTCCTCGCATGTACCTCCAGTGTATTATTTGTACCACACAACATGAGTAGGGCCGTGTCACTTTCCACCGAATGTCAGGCCTAGGCTGATCATGAGGTGACTTGTCCTCTTCGGCTCGTCGGACGCCACCGCCCTACACTCAGTCCATGCTCCATGGTATCCTCTGGCCCGGCAGAGCAGCCACGGCTGTAGGAATCGCTCGGTCCCTCTTGACGGGGCGTGCTCTATCGCGTAAGACACATCTGGCTCGCGGCTCGCGATCTTCTGTACGATGTGCCAGTTCCTCCCCCGACCCCAGCACCCGCACGGCGTATTATCGTAGCAGGCATGGGCAACTACAACAACCCATGCTTTCCGACGCTCAAAGACACACCATATACGCGCTCTCAACGCCCCCGGGAAAGGCGGGCGTCGCAGTCATACGAATTTCCGGGCCCGATGCGCTTAGTGTATGGCAGGGGATGGTGAAGACCGCTGGGACACACTACGAACTCATGGGCCCGAGCCCGAAACCTTGGAGGATGCAGCGATGCAGAGTCGTAGATCCTGTGGACGGAGAGGTCCTGGACGACGGACTTGCCGTGTTTTTCAAAGGTGCGCAAGAGATACGACACCCCTTTTGATTTTGCCCTCAACGCGCTTCATGTAGGGCCACGGTCCTTCACCGCTGAGGACACGCTCGAGCTACATATTCACTCCGGTCGCGCCGTCATCAAGGCTGTTCTCGGCGCGTTGGCCACCTTCCCGGCTCTGCGCCCGGCCGAACCCGGCGAGTTCACTCGGCGAGCGTTCGAAAGCGGCAGGTTGGACCTCACGCAGGTGGAAGGGCTGAGAGACCTCATCGATGCGGAGACCGAGGGACAAAGGAAATTAGCAACCAGGGTCGCCAGGGTATGCTTAATCTGCACAGTATACGATGGAGTTCGACGAACTGATGATAATGCATACAGGGTGATATACGTGTCGGGTATGAGAGACTTAGAGGAGACATCATACATTGCTTGGCAATGGTGGAGGCTCTGATTGATTTTGGCGAGGGGGAAGATATCGAGGATGGTGTGTACGAACAAGGTAAGTGCGATGGTGTACTTTGCCCATCCCTATGACCCTGTATAGCTCATACGTTAATCATTATTTCTACTACATTCTGTTTTAGCCAGACAACGTGCGTCGGAACTTCACACGAACATTCTGAACCTTCTCTCCGACAACCGCAAAGGAGAGATCATGCGTTCGGGCGTGCGAGTCGTCATCTTCGGACCACCTAACGTCGGCAAAAGCAGTTTCCTCAACTATCTAGGTCGGTGAACCTACATTGACACGTGCTTCAGTATGCTCAAACCTGAATGTTATAGCACAACGAGAGGCTGCCATCGTGACGCACATCCCTGGTACAACACGCGATGTCTTGGAGTTGTCCCTCGATATCGGTGGATTACCGGTGGTAGTCGCTGATACCGCCGGCGTACGACAAACGGAAGATGCTGTGGAAAGTATTGGAGTGGATCGGGCGAAAGACGCGTGAGTGCCTTCCACTATATGCGCACGATATGCGACATGCCCTCTCAAACCTAGGCTAACTTCTCTCTCCTTCGTACTATAGGGCACTGAAAGCAGATGCAACGGTTTGTGTCTTATCCCTACCGGACCTTATGGCGGATCACGCGGCCGAGGCAGGCTCCTTACAAGTGCCGGATGCCGTCCGGTCATTGGTCAAGCCAGACACGATCTTCCTGCTTAACAAGGCGGACACCGTGGAAGGTAACACGCTCAGCGATTATCTGTCCGCATTCCCTGCTGGGCGGACCTGGTCGTGCAGCGTCAAGACAGGTGACGGAATGAAAACTTTCATGGATGGACTCACGGAGATTCTGAGGGAAAGGTATATTACATGCCGTTATGCACGAGCTCCGTACTTATCAGGCCTTCGCTACAAGATACGACGTGTTACGAACCGACCAACATTCTAACGACTTGCTCATTACGCATGCACGCCACCGTGTGCATCTCGAATCGGCGCTGCAGTTCCTTCAGGGCTTCCTCGACACTCGTCAGTCTCTATCTGAATCACACATACATATGCCGAAAATGATGTACTGTTGGCTCCCCAGCACCGGAAGACGTGGTCCTTGGAGCCGAGGAATTGCGTTATGCTGCGCAGGCCATAGGGAAGATTTCCGGTCTCATCGACGTCGAGCATGTTCTAGACGCCGTCTTCAGCGAGTTCTGCATCGGGAAGTAGATACTAGCACCTGAGTACATCCTCGCGTCACATATGACCGCTATTCTGCATAGCTGCCCACCATGCACCCATACTTCTGGACCACCCTTATATCGACCTTACGCATATCGTGGTGCGTCATCACTACGTCTTCGTGTACGCGAAAGTTGACGTTCCTCGTGTGCATACAGTTATATAATACAATTATGTGGCGCAGTCGCCTGTAATGATAATGCAATACATCTTCAATCCAGATTATTACGTCTCGAAAGCGTTGATCACCGAGCTGAAGGCGGGCTTCGCGACGTAGTTGTCTGTACCCATGTTAGATCAGATGACCCAGTTGCAGATATTACATTCTAGAAAGACTCACCGTCGAAGAGCAAAGGCTTATCATTGCCGGGGAATGTTCCCGGTGCAGGGAAATTGACCCAGCTGTAAATGTCTCCGATGCCTACGAATACGATCAGCAAGCACGCACACGCTGGACGAGAGAGTACATACCCCACGTGGTGATGCCTACGCAGTTCGTGACAGCCTGGCAAGCGTTGACGACGGTCGCAAAATCGGTCGCTTGCTGCTCGAGGTCGGCTTGGGTGACGGGGTCGGGTATCCTTACATCCAGCTCGGTGATGGCGACTTGCACGCCGAGGTTGGCGAAACGCTGGAGGTTGGCTTGCAGGTCCGTCGGCACCTCGCCGAGGATGAAGTGGCTCTGGAAGCCGACGCCATCGATCAAGCCACTCTTGGTGAGGTTCTGCACGACCGACAAGAGCGCGTCGGACTTGACGTTGATGCTCTCCGTTCCGAAGTCGTTCTGATCCGCGAAAGGTGGGATGACTCGATACCGACACTGAAAGACATATGGCTTACGATGAAAAGCTTTGCGTTGGGATCGGCTGCACGGGCGGTTTGGAAAGCGGTGAAGATGTATCCGCTCCCGAGAGCCGTGAGGAAGGGCGAGCTACCAAAAGTGCCGTCATCGTTGAACGCCTCGTTCACTGTACGGAGCGAACAAACGTTAAGACCCGTCTTAGCAAATTCTCATGGTGGAAAGGTACCTACCGACATCCCTAAAGGACATGTTCTCAACCCCTAAGCCGCAACGCGAATGTAGGAGATGGACATACCAAGCGAAGATTTTCCCTTTGAAATGACCCATCACCTGCTGAATGTGGTTCACCATGGCGCTACCGACGGCCTGAGCACCGGAAAGCTGGGTAACCCACGCTGGTAACTGACTGTATTAGGTCGCGAGTCAGCATCGTGCACCATATTCCAGATATGACGACCACTTGCTTGTGCCAGACCAGCGTGTGTCCACGGAGCTTATGCCCGTGTGCGGCGGCGAACTGCTGGATCACGTCTCCCTGGGCGAAGGTGAACACGCCTTGCTCGGGCTCCGTAGCGTCCCACTTCATTCTAACAACCAGCCTCAGTCAGCAATGTACTAAATTAAGCATAGTCACGGCTTACTCGTTCTCCGGTGTCGACCCAGAAAACTGTGTGGCCGCAAGGCTGGCAAAGTTCGGGTCACTCGCGTTCTGCAAATGCCCAACGCCGAGCGCGGCGCCGAAGTATCGAGCGCCCGCGGCCGCCTTCAGAGTCGCAGATTGTCGTTCCACGTGCGGAGATGCGTTCACCACGACACATGCCAGCAAGGTCAATAGCGAAGATAAACGAAGGGAGACCATTGTGGCACGTCCTCGCTACGATGCACGTCAGCGAAGCATGAGCACGCCTTTATACGTCGTCAGTGGGAAATCGCGGGGGTATCTTAGGGAGCTAAGTTGGGGAGCGGTAGGAGCATCGGATGCATACTGTATTGACGTCGAGAACGACCGCTGAGCACGACACCCCGGCTGCGCTCGCAAATGAGCAGATGTATGCACAATCATCGCACAAGCCCCACACCCAGAGCAAATCCTGCCGGAAAGAGGGTACCCCTCGTCCGAGGGTGCATCGGGTGCATCGGGTGCATCAGCTGATTGCCAGGTTGTCAGAGCAAGCGTCGTGCTTTATGGCTTCACCGAGGCATATATAGGGACGAACGAAATATCGGGCGATAGCGTCCCACGAGCGGCTATCCGTCGACATACTGACGGAAGGCGGAGACCAGTTCTCGGGATCGGCGCAGCAACAAGGACTCACGGCCGTGCCTACGGTGTGATTTCCTGCGGCAGCAGTGCGAAAGGCAAGGAATAAACGTCATTTCTCGCATGCAATCCTGCTCTAAGAACCGCTATATAATCCGTATGTTGATGGAACGACTTCATGGCTGTCGGATACAGTCGTAGCGTGGACATGTTACACGGATGAGGTGCCGGTGCAGAAGTCGGAAGCAAAACGGCTGGAACGCCGGAACACCGAACAGAGAGTCAACAGCTGTCAACAGCCACGTCCAGCACAGCCTCCTCCTATTCCTCCTGCACTGTGCGCAGTGGTTCGCTACCACGAGCAACACTACAGGCTGTCTCGATCTAGCAGGACGACTCTGCATTCTGAAAACACATATGCCTATTTGTCACCGTGACGTCCGAACGGCAGTCTATAGAGCTTGACGAGCTCCGGGAGCGCCTACATCCTTCTACATACATGTCAACAGATGAGGATCGGTTACTCGAAGAAGAAGCCTCGGCCTATGGAGATGACGAGAAACGGAGGAGAAGAGGCTACATCCTCTCCGGACTCGCGTTCTTTCTGTTTGGCCTCACCAACAATGGTGCGTGATGATGCGTCGCAGATTCACTGTATATACGAGGCGTTGACGGGGTTTGTCCCCTCGGTCGCAGTCCTTTATGTGATCATTCTCTCTGCTGCCCTTGACTTAGTGCCTCCGGCCACTCCCAAAGGGATTATTGCATTCTGCAATATCGCTCCGTCTCTGGTCGCGAAGGTCGGCTGGCCTTATGTGCTCAAGGGTCGAATACGATATACGAGACGATTGCTGGGGTGTTGTGCTTTGAGCGTTTCCGGCATGGTTGTACGTCATATACATTTAGACGCAGGTGCCTGGAATACCGGTGTTGACCGATGTCGTCCATTAGGTCGTCGCAGCCTTTGACGCATTGCCCATGAGGTTACTGGGGATTGGTTTGGCGTCCTTTTCGTCCGGTAGGTTACGCACTTCACCTCCTTCAACCGTCCGCCTTCTCACTGTCATGTTGACGTCATTTCAGGTCTTGGCGAATTGACTTTCCTCCAGCTGTCCACCACGTACGGATCGCTGGCTGGGCATTGTGTCGGGTGAGCCAAGTTCAGTTTTTCCTTCGGGCAGATTGAATTCATTGAATCCTTATATCGACAGATATTTTGCGTCCGGAACTGGCGCAGCGGGAATCGTTGGCTCCTTCCTGTGGTGGGAGGTGCGTGGCTTAGGCGTCAGGGAAGGTGTAGGGCTCTCTACCGTGAGTTCGAGCTTTGACTGAGAGCTCTACCGCCCATGCTGATTTCAAGAGCCAGATAATGCCCTTCGTCATACCCCTCACATACTTCTTCATCCTTCCATCATCCAACTCCGTCGCGGTTCATACAGCATCGAACTCCGGAACTGAGATACCTTACGCTCCGCTAACAACAACTGAAGACGAGGAGGTGCTCGGAAGCGACCCGCCCATCGTCGCTACGTTGGAAGGAGAATCAGTGACCGTCGCCTTGAGCGCTGAAGAAAAATGGCACCTCGTACGACCCCTTTTGCTGCGCTACATGCTGCCGTTATGTGAGCCCTTTCTGCCATGTATGCGCATTTAATAGCCATTGATCGTGTTCACAGTCTGCGTCTATCTGGTCAGTCCACTGCTGACTACGGATTGTTCCACACCCTTGCTTACCCATAGTGTCGTCTTCGCGGTTTGTGAACGCAGTTCGAGTACACCATCAATCAGGCGCGCGTTCTCGTTCTTCATGATTTACGTAATGTATGTGCTCATACGCGGACGCTCTTCCCTTCAGGGCGTATCCCCTACATTGCTTTACGACAGCTTTACGCCCAGCATGCTGTCCAGACTCATACTGAAGATCATACACTCGCCAGCCGATTTCTATCCGTTCTGGCAGGTCCGTGCTCATTCCCCAAGACCATTCACCATGCACGTCTTGATTGACGTCTGCACTCTCGCAGCTCGTCTACCAGACCGGTGTCTTCCTTTCGCGCTCTTCAATCTCGATGGGCCTCCCGCCCCTTCCTGGATGGCTGATCTCGGCCCCTGCCGTCATTCAGGCCTTCATCCTGCTGGCTCTGACGCTGGAGTCGGCGTTGGGGCTAGCAGGGAACGATACGCAAGGTGTTCTGCTGGTCTTCGTCCTTATCAGCGTGGAAGGCATATGCGGAGGGCTCGCTTAGTCAGTCTGCTGTTCTCATCTCTCGCGTACGTTAACTAACGCCTTTGACAATGCGATAGCGTCAACGTTTACCACCATATCAACCAGCGGTCGCCGAGTTCGATAGCAGGAGACGGTACATCGACAGAACGCGCGCGGCAGGAGCAGGAGTTCAGGATCGGCTCGATAGGGTTCTCTGATTCACTCGGGATCCTGCTCGCGAGTGTCGTCTCTGTCCCGACCGAGGTCGGACTATGCAGGGCGCAGACCAGGAGAGGGAAACGCTTGTGCCGAGGGTTGTAATCCATTGACCATCGATCCTTGGCGTTTACGTACATCAGGCAGGGTATGGAGAACGAACGTCGGGTTGTTTACGCATTTGGCTCTCACCCTCTGCCCGCCTTTTGTAACGTCACGGTCTTCTATCACTTCGTAAACCCACGCACAGACTATGAATAAGGGAACTACGGCCTCCACAACCCCGTCGGTGTATACCTCTTGTCCTCATCGCCCCACGGGGAGGCGATCGCTCCAGCCTCGAGATATCATCGAAAGTACTGCTCGCACTCGCTCGGCAATCCCATGGGCGGTCGCCACTGCGAGAAGTGCGACCGCACGTTCGGCACCAAGCATGCCCTCCTGCAGCACCTAAAGTCCTCGTCCAACCACGTCTTCTGCAGCGGCTGCAACCGGGACTTCGTCTCTGAGGCGGCGCGGCTGCAGCACTGGCGAAGCTCGCCGCAGCACAAGTTCTGCCGGCTGTGCAACGATCTGATCGACGACGACGACGAGCCGCGGGAGCACGACCGGAAGGCGCACTGCGTGTGCGACTCGGATGGGTGCGATTGGAGGGTGTTCGCCAGCCTCAGCGAGTTGAGGTCGCACCGGGAGGAAGACCATTCGTACTGCGTGGCGTGCAATCGGTACTTCGACAACGAGGGAAACCTCGAGATGGTGAGCTGCGTTGGTTGTCATGTTTGAACGCGGAGGGCTCGGATCGTTGACTTCGAGCGCATCGGCGCTTCTCTCTTCGTTTCAGCACGAAACGTCGCGGAAACATCAACAGCGAAAACCGCTAACGTGCCCGAACGCAGAGTGTGAGGGATCGTTTGATACCCTTAGCGATCTGCTGCAGCACTTCGAGAGCAACAGTTGTGGGATCGACGACTATGCGTTGGTGCAAGATGCCGTGTCCAAGCTAGAGGAGGGTATACGGATGTTGAGGCCCTAGGGGGTTGGGGTTTCGACGTCGAAAGCAATCCCCCCTCTCTCTTTGGAAATGTACTTCATCTAGTGCTGGATCATGGTGGGTTGCGCTGTCTGAGCTGGATCGGCGTGATCCAATGAAGCTGGTGTATCTGTGGACCTTCCGTCAGCATCGCATCTACGCTAAACGGGGTGAGGAAGTGCTGTACGGCTGCGTTTTCACCAGAAACGTCCTTTCATGGCTTGTTTCGCGTTAAAACACGGTTGCGACGTGATCACATAGGCATCATCGTTAGCATCGCGCGCCGGGGTGCGAGCACACATGTCTCGTTATCATTCACCACTTGGTCAAAGACGCTGCTCCGGAGCGAGCACAAGTACGGACGTACCCACGTTGGCAGTGGTGACGAAGGCGAGAAATAAGTACCAGGAGAAGTATGACGTCAACAGCGTGCGCGAGCTTGGTTCACGGACGCTTTGACTTTTGGAGCCCTACAACGACCGTGGCCTGACAGCGCCAAGGCCAAATATGCGATTATCTGTGGAGCACAGGCGCAGCCTTCGTGGTGCATATATACCTCCGTCTTCCTCCAAACCCAGGCACATACCACCACCACTCAACATAAAGACTCTCCAAGTTTTAAACGTATACACCACTCAGCCAGTAACGAACGCTCGTCACGACCTCTAACGACAAGGCATCCAACATGTTTGGCCGTACTTCCAATCACCGCGAATACACCACCACCCGCCGTCACAACCGTGTCGGACACCGCTGGGGCGGCCGTCGCGATCCCGACCGCGTCGCAGGCGGGTACAAGGCCGCGGTACGTCGTCACCTCATCCCATAGGATTCTCATCTCGCCAAGCTCATAGTCTACCTCGCCTCAGCTGCGCAACCCGAACACCACCCGCGACGGCCGCGAGCGCGCCAAAGCCGAGCTCAGAGCGATGGTCAGTGGCCCGAAAACTCGTCACTACCATAAATCAGATCCAACCGAGATGAACGCTGAGCGCTGACGATACCGTCGTGGCTCTCGGTTTCCACCCACAGGGACGCGGGCGCGAGGCGCACCTGACGCTGGGCCAGCGGATCAAGCGCATGCTGCACATCCGCGCGACGCCGCGCAGGGAGCGTGAGCGACAGAAGGAGCGTCGCCGGTTCGGTTTCGGGCGGCGGTCTTCTCCCCGAGCAGCCCGATACTAAAGTCTAAGCGATAAACTTCGCTTCCTCCGCACCGGAGTCAAGGAGGAGATGGATATACACCCTGACTTGCGAGCGGACGATTGTCAGGCGGACAAGGAGGATACCACGGACATGGACCGAAGCTATACCATGTATGATATGTATAACAGCTGCGGATTGAGATATTAGTGGGGTATATGCGGGCGTCCAAGGCCTGTCATTCTTCAGTCAGTTCTCTAAGGCAAACCGCCGCGCGTAGATATCGATGATCTGGTCCAGGATCATTCGGAAACAACGTTCGCCGCCCATTTCTGCCACCGCCTCCGGATCCAACATCGACGAGTCGAGCTCGGGCATCCGCACCTCGAGTACGTTAGAATTGTTCTCATGACATCGTCACAGAGCTTTCCCCGCAATCCAAAGAGAGGTGCGAAGGTCCGAAGTTTCGGCGCGGAAGGAAATGACGGCTGGTAAGTATACCTGTAGGGCACGTCATGCCTCGCCGGGGTCCGCAGCTGGCCCCGTCGAAAGCTCCAGATCGCTCTAGCGCTTTGCTGCTGGTACTACATGGCTGAGCATGACGCAGTCCGCGCATAGCCAGCCGATGATTGACGCGGCCGCGCGGACGGCCAAAGGAAAAAAAAAAATCACGAAGGAAATATGTATACTGTATCGGAGACTTTATCTTTTAACTACACGATTAGTAGGCCTATGAGACACATTTCGTCGTTGAGGAGAGAGATCATGAACGAGGAGGGGAACAACCGTAAAAAAACCCGATCTTGCGTGCGATTGAGCCGAACCGTCATCAGGCGGTGATCATCCTATGTCGTTGCGGGAGGGGGAATCGAAACGTAACAAGTAAAAAAAAGGTTGAACAAGAAACAGAATTGAAAAGACACGGGGGGATAGCACTGCACTTATGCGAGGGAGCACGTAATCGGACTCGATGATAAGGGGAGGAAAAGCCTAGGCGAGCGAGCAAGCGAGTGAAGTCAGCGATCGGTCCCGATGAGATCATACGTGACGACGACGATCATATCACCACTGACCTCTTCTCTAGAGAAAAAAAAAAGATGTACAGTCTACGAGCCCCTTTGTCCCCTTTGCCCGCTTTCCTTTGTCTACTAGGCCTCGTCCATATCGCGCTCCTCCTCGTCCTCGTCCGTCTCGGTCTCGGTCTCGGTGCTGTGCAAACTCTGCGTCTCCGAGCTCGCGTCCGAGCGCGCGGGCCGGATCGTGGGCTCGTCGTCCGTCGACGTGCTCGTCTCCGCGTCGTCCGTCTCGGCCGCGCTGTCGTCGGTATGCGCCGAGGAGGCGAACGAGTCCTTGCGCTGGTAGCCCGCCGTGGCCGGTCGAACGTGCGGCGTTTTGAGGTGAGATTGGTCGGCGGCGGGCGCGGCGGGTATGGCGGGGGTGGAGGGCGAGGGCGGGTCGGCGGACGAAGGCGAGGGGAGGACAGGGGCGGAGGTGGTGGTGGTGGTGGAGGAGGAGGAGGAGGAGGAGGAGATGGCGGACGAAGGTTGCTGCGTCTGCGAGAAGAAGACGAGGTCTTCCGCGTACTTTTGCATCTCTTCGGGGCTGACCATCAGCTCAAAGTTGTTGAGGAGCAGGAACTGCAGTTCGAGCGAGTTGAGCTCCGCCTGCGGCAGCCCACCGACCTGGGTCGCGTCGGGCGATCAGAATTTCCTTGTCCCAAGAGGGGGGAAAGAGGGAAGGGTAGCTCACCTTCGCGTACCGCGAGTTGGTGTAGAAGACGTCGCTGAAGAATTTGCTGGCGACGGTGACGCCGGCGATGACGAGCCGGTGGATGTTGAACGAGTCGATGACGAACGTCCGACCGGTCGCCTCCTTGGACAGCCGGGCCATGCGGTCGAAGTAGACAAGCAGGCTGAGGAATACCTCGTTCGTGGTCGGGCAGTACTTGAGGATGCGGAGGAGGTAGGCCTCGAGCGAGATGGTGGGGATGTTGCGCGCGTGGAAGGTGAGCGTGGAGGACGTGGTGGAGAGCGCCGCGCGGGAGGCGGACGTGAGCTGAGACCAGATGGGCCCGTGCACAATCGGCTGGTGCGGGCTGTGGGGGGAGAGAGGGGAGGAGGAGGAAGCGTCGGCGCTGGAGAGCTTGTCGTTCGACGTCGCGATCTGAGTCAGCACGACGGCGAGCTGTTTGAGCAGGTCCTGCGAGTTGTAGGACTGGATGTCTATGCGAGGCTTGGAAGGCTTCGGGGCAGCGTAGGAGGACGCGCGAGGAGAGGAGGGGGACGGGTGGTGCAACGGCGACTTGGAACTAGACGCCGTCGGCGGCTGGTGGGGGTGATGCTGGTGTTGTTGTTGTTGGTGCTGCTGTTGCGAGCTGGCCGTAGGCCGCTGTTGCTGGTGAAAATGGCTGGCGCTCGCTGAGCGGGACGTCGAGGGTATGACAGGCGCCGAACTCGACGAGGAGCTGTACGAGTTGGACGACGACGAGGGGTGTCGGCGGGACTGTTGATGCCGGCTCAGCGGGCGGGGGTCATAGCTCGGCCCTTCGGACGGTGTATGGGCAAGCGAGGGGGCCAGGGCGAGCATTCCGATACGATCTTGGTTGCGGCGGGTTGGGGAAGGAAGCGTCGGGCGGGCGTTGTGGCGAGCTGTGATATGACTTCGGGCAGGGGCGGTGGTGCGGATGGATCGCCAGCGGGGGAGCGAGGCATCCCATCACGTGCGTGGGTGTCCCGGCACCGCCACGGGTTATCGGGGCTCCAACGCGCCTTCGCCTCGACCGCGTTCGCCGGAAGACGGGTTACTTGGACTCGTTCCGATCGCTTTTGCTGGTTGCCCGGCCTCTCGAAATGCTAGGGCTCTCTATAGGATCGGCGTCTGCGGTTCCGCGAGATTGTCATCGGTTATCGCGACGATGGACCAGCCCGACGACCTTGATGGCAGATGCAGTCGCTTGTTCCCGCACATTTCCGAGCTTCGACGAGTTGTGTCTGTGCTCCCGGTTCTGTGCATAGTCCGGTCCTTGCTCTGATCTCCATCGCGAAGTAATAGGATCGATATCAAGCTCCGGTTCCATGCCGGAGTTTCATCGCGTAGCATGTTGCTCCCGATCTCGTACAATTGAACAGCCTCCCCCGAAATTAGCACGAGGTACTACTGCACGTTCGATTCGGTCTTTCAATGGCATTGGCTTGTTTTTCACGATCTGACCTCGTGTAAACAGACTCCATTCACGGCGCTCGCTCTCGCTCTAACGAAAGCGGATCTCCGAGTCGATCGTGCATACTGGTCCCGCCAATCCATACAAAAAAAAATCACGTATGCATACAGAAATCACAAGTATGATACATTGTGGCGTGGTTGCTCTACTTCGCAACTGTGGTATACTGATTTCCGTCCGTTTGCAAATGTCCGTTTGAGAATTGGATGCGTGTTGATGCAACTCGCGTACGTACTGTACCTGGGTTGTGCAGAGAGACTGGCTCACGACACGATGTCACCACGTGCCTGGACATATGATAAATAGGTCCGTCAACCGATATCAGCCACTGATTTCATCGACTCGGCCTGTCCTTGTCTATGAAGAATATTATCGCTTAAGGTGATTGCTACCCCTATGTCTACGAGCAGCCACTCAGCCACGCTTAGATGCTTCCGCTCATTGCCGGTTTTAAATGTTCTATCGACGAGCTGACCAAGTGATGCGCGGACAAGATGCCAGAACTTCCGGAGTCAGTATACATCCCTGTCACTACCCGCATGCACCTTAAGGTCGATGAGCTCCAGGCTGTCGGCCGCTTCCGCCATGCTATCATCAGCTGGCCACCCCGTACTGCACCGGACAGCGAGGGCCGCCTCAGGGTGACTAAGAACGGGAGAACGCGTTACATGTTCGTCACCCGTCAGAATTCCCTCGCTGGCAGGATTGGACTGGCGAGTACCAAGCGGAGGAGCGCGAGGAGGATCGTCTCACTGAAGGATCAGTTCAAGGAAATTCTTGATATGCCCGAGGATATGTTCAAGTTCGCCACGTACCCAATTATGGATGGGCTATGCTCCCCTGGGCGAGCGATGGGACAAGATCACCATTCCCCAGCCCTGAGTTTCCACTGCCCGAATCGGCAAAGATACAGCGACTTCTGTTCTTGGTCATTGACCTGGATTTGTAGCGGATAGTCAGCAGCTGGGCGATGACGAAATCCGGTTTGTACGATCGTTCCCCCGTCATTAAATGATACGAGTCTCTCGACCGTTCGGGGTCATCGGGATCAGAATCCACGGTAGCGCGGAGAATCGGCTGCGGCTTCACCAGGTAAAATTTCGCAAGACATCAAGCCCCCGTTCCATGCCGGAACTTCATCGCGAATAGCATGTTGCCCCCCATATCGTCCAATCGAACAGCCTCCCCCGGAATTAGCACAAGGCACTGCGCGTTCGACTCGACTTTTCAAGGTGACATTGGCTTGTCCGCAATATGACATCGTGAACGAACTCTGCTTACGGTGCTTGCTCTCGCTTCTAAGATCGCTTCTAGGAAAGCGGATCATGCATATCGGCTCGACCTGGTATCGGGTTGCACCGAGAGAGAAAGACCGCCACCTAAAACAGAGCCGGCGACGCTCCATGGGTCTACCGGTCCTCGCTCCGCTTTGTGCACTTCTCATCCTATGGGGTGAGTAATTGTTATATTCTGCACCACTCTGTGTTCTTCCTGCAGTGTGGATGCAAGCGAGCGAATAGAAAGGGCACGATCGTCGTATTCCCAGCTTTCAAGAATGCGAGATGCGAAGCCGTTCTCAAGCCACAAGCACGATGCAATCACATCCAGTCAGAATGTCCTACGTAGATGATACCAGACGTATTATCAATGCGGTGAACGGACATTGCTTGGGTTGCCCCACTATTGTCTCGTAATTGTTGACTAATAGTAAGTAGCTATTCATCCTGCGCCTGGGACACGATATAGTCACGTGCCCATGCAGTATAAATAGGCCAGCCATCGCCTGTGCCCGCCATTGCACAAGCTACCAACCAGCTACCCTTGTATCTCCTGGCGATCCATAGTATTAAGGTGAGCACGGATCTCACTATTGCTACACATTGCTTCAAAACACGTCTAGATGATCAAGCTTGTCGCCGGATATGAATTGCCTAAGGAGGAAGTACTGAAGTGGTGCGATTCCAAGAAGCTGGCAAGGGATGACGGCTCGTTATACAGCGCCGTGATCAGCTACATGTTGGATAACCCCGACCGCCTCCCTTTTGACCACTTCAAGTTCTACGCTGTCAGCTGGCCACCCTATTATGTACCGGACGGCCACGGACGCAAGATACCCAACCCAATCTCCCAATCGCACTACATGTTCATCACGCGTTATCTCGTCGACGAGGCATTTCCTCGCCGATCTCCATGGAACGGCGAGTACCAAGCGGAGGAACGCGATCAGGATCGACTCCTGAAAGCGACACTGGTCGAAGTACTGGGTCTACCTGAGGCCAAGCTCACATTCGCCACGTATCCAAAGGGGCACATGTATATGTTGCCGGAGACGCCGTGGGAACAGATCACAATTCCTCGACCTCAGGCTCCACATTCCACAGTTGTATGAGCTTGATGTAAGCCGCACGAGACGAAATCTAGAAATACGTGATCGCCGTCGTCCAAGGCTTTGTTTGAATAGTGACTGGTCGCGGCTTCACGATGTAGCCTATTGAGAGGGCCATATATGCTCGCTTCGTAGTGTGTCCATGGCTTCACTGCAGTCACAGGGGTGACCGGGTCCAGTACGTAAACATCCTTCCCCTTATATACGGGGGGAGTCGGAACGACCAACTCCATCGACTGCCAGTGCCCGTCATTGCACAAGCTACCAACCAGCTATCCTTGTATCTCCTCGAGACACATAGTATCAAGGTGAGTGTGAATCTCTCTGTTGCTGGACATTGCTTTAAAACACGTCTAGATGTTGAAGCTTGTCGCCGGATATGAATTGCCTACCGAAGAACTACGCAAGTGGTGCGATTCCAAGATACCATCAAAGGAGCATGATTCGTTATACTGCGCCATGATCTCCTACATGAAACACTCCGACGGCCTTCCTTTTGATCACTTCAAGTTCTGTGTTGTCAACTGGCCACCCAGCTACGTCCCCTACGGACACAAGATACGCAACCCAAAGACCCAAGTACATTACATGTTCATCACGCGTTATCTCGTCGATGAGGCATTTCCTCGTCGATCTCCATGGAACGGCGAGTACCAAGCGAAGGAGCGCGATCAGGATCGACTCCTGAAAGCGACACTAATCAAAATACTGGGTCTACCCGAGGCCCAGCTCACATTCGCAACGTATCCGTAGGGGACCATCTATGTGCCGCCGGAGAAGCAGTGGGAACATATCACAATTCCTCGGCCTCAGGCTCCACGTTCCGCACTTGCTCGCTCAGATTGACAGTCTTGGACATTGACCTAACCCCGCGCACATGTGGCGCGCTCGAGTCCCCTGGACCGGGCAGCATTGTATTACGCATTGCAATCTATTGGAATATGCTTCTAGTGCCTGCTTGAAGCTTTTCGATGAGTGCTCGCACCAAAGCTCCTCAGGTTCGGTGCCAAACACACCCGGAAGCTTTTGATCATAGTCTGTCCTCGACAGCCTCGCATCAACAGAGAGCTGAACATTCAAGGCCCATAATAGATTCGCTTTTGCTGGCCAACTCAACACTGCGTCGACATTATAAGAATACATCTTGAGTGCACGAACACATCACGGCGGAAACGATCGGGCGAGACTCATAGCTCTGCAAGAAGCATCGTGCCGAGGTTTTGTACAACCTGATCGCCCATCGCTTTCTCCACCGCCTCCTCGAGATGCCGTTTCGGATCCTGCTTCCCGACGTGCCGCGTCTTCAGCTGTTCTGGAGTTAGCGTCGACTCCTCCTGCACCGACTTATTGTACGCTTCTGATAGCGTCAGCATCGACTACGGAAAAGGAAGACAGTCAGGGTCGATCCATCGGCAAGGTCAAGATGAAGAGACGAACCTTTATCGCCTTCTCGTTCGATTCCTTATGCTGCCGGAAATCGCGCAGCTTGAGACCCTCGGTCCAGTTCCGCTTGTGGAGATTCATAAGCATGCCCTGCTCGAGCTCCGTCTTGCGGTAGTTGACGGCGATCGAGTAGTAGTGCCGATTCAGGCCATGAATGAGCGCTTGGATCGAGGGTTTGTTGATGTGTCCGATGTTCGACGTCGTCTGCCGCGGCTCTTGGCCAGCTAGGACGGTGTGCGGATTGATAAGCCGGAAGGCGTCAATGACAACCTTGCCCTTGACGGATTGGATGGGGTCCACGACGACGGCGACGGAGCGGGAGTTTAGTTGCTCGAAAGACTAGAGGAAGAGACAGCCGGCCGTGAGTATAGCATGCGTGGCAAACTGTATTTGGCAGATGTACTTGTTGTGTGTTGATATCGACGCTAGAAAGCCAGCACCCAAAGCCGGGATGTGAGTGGTACCAGCCGACGACACTCTCGGGGCTGCGATGCGTGTTTAATCTCCAGCGACCCTGTACGTGTAGGAAGAAGGACAACGTACCGTCCTGTTTGTTTGAGCATGTCCACCATCTTCGTTTGAAATACGTGATCCACGGACTCAACGGACACGGTGGTACCCGATTGCGGCATGGCGAAGACGTCGACGACCTGCACAGTGTATTCGTCCACGAACTCGCCCAACATGAGCCCCATGACCTCCATGGGTACACCCGCGCGGCCGTGTTTCAACATCTGAACAAGGACATATGATGTTGAACGCAGAATATATATCAATATCGGCTTACCTTGAGGAGTGCCAGTGAGGATATGTGGATGACTTCACCACTGTCAGATCGTCAGAGCTGCCCAGTACATTACCAAACTATGCATACTCACTTGTCCGGTACAGTGCCATCTCCACGTGGAGCGCCTCCGCCTTGTTGAAACGACATCATATCCATGGCTGAGTGAAGCAAGAGACTAAGGAGGTGGCAGGCGAAGATGAAGATGGTTTAGGGAGCTTAACTCTACTTCAGAAAGACGCGTACGCGTCGAGCTGCACGGAATGTAACCACGTGAATAGCACCGCCACTTTGAGCCGGGCGCTAAGTTGCATTCGATTCCACTTCTCGACCTTACTTTCGGGCTTGACGTCTCTTTTCACTGGGTTTTATTGACTGGAGGTTACTGCTTGGAGCGATTCTTTATCCCGTTATTGACCTTCAACTGCTCATACCTGTGTCCACAACGCGACCTTTACACCCGTGAATCCGATTGGAACGAAGAATACGACTGCATAGTCTGCCATCGACATGCCAACTAGCGAACTCTCTGATGCTCTGAATCCAAATGTCGTGCATCAACGCAACACGCCCCATATGCCCTATGCATCTCCTTCTACATCCCACTTGCAACCAGTCCTGCGTCAAGCGCGTGAGCACGTTCCTCATCGCAGCGAGCTCGAGCTAGCCATCAGCGAGCCTGTTCCTCCCCCAGTCGCTGCTGCTCCTACTCCGGTGCCACCTCCACCCACCACGACGTATGTCCTCCGATCCCTATCTGTATAGTTGACGCACTCATCCCCGGGTAGAGCGTTACGACCACGAGGGGCTCAGGGCCCGCACGGCTTCAATGCGGTGACAGAGCTAGTGCGGGTCATCGCGGGGACGAGGCAGCTGACGGAGATCGAGCATCGGCGTAGGACGGCCTGGGAGCAAGAACAGGATGCCAAGCTCACCCGTCGAGACGCGGAGATGGAAGGTCAGCTCGTCGAAATGCGGAACGAGATTGCAGCTCTCAAGGCGTACGTCGGCCTTCTACCTTTCATGCAGCAGCAGCAGCAGCAACCGCAGCAGGCCGATGCTAGTCCGATGGATGAGATCACGTTTGGAACGGAACTTCCTCAGACTCAACCTCACTCGGTCATCGAACCCGGGTCACCGCCTGAGGGAGGTCGATCTGCGGAAGGTCATGATTACTTCGGGTTGCCGGCGTATGAAGGAGGGTACATTGAGGAACAACCGGATACAACCATGTCTTCGCCTTCGATGCTTCCCCAAACTCAGCCATACATAGCTGCCCCCAGTCCTCCCATGGTTCCTCCAAATCGCATTCACCCAGCCGAACCCATTGGGGTGCAAGTTACTCAGGAATCTAGCCTAACTTCCTCGGTGTCGACAATACAAACTGAAGCGTCAATGTCTCTGCGTTCAGAAGTTCTACCTCAAGATATCAATTACCAAACTTCCTATGCTCCCCTTCCGAGCTATTACGCTCCTATCGCACCCGGTCATGGTGTACCAACACATATGGGATATGGTGGCCAAACCATGGCATACGGTGGCGAGCCTCCTCCGGAGTTCGTGCAAGGATCTTCCTCTCGGCCTCTACAGGCTATTCCAAACGATAGGTTCCCGTACCCTGCACCTAAAGATGGACATCTGGGTAACCATATGAGCTGGTGCGCACCCGGCGCCGACGTAGCTACTATGCCACCTGCGTCCGTGCCATTTCCCATGCCAGAGCAAACACCATCACCGGAGATGGTGCTTGTTGCTGGATCGTTACCACCCACTCCGTAAGTCATTCGATTGGCCACCCTCGACAAAGTATACTCACGATCATTCAGGAGGGATTCCCATGAGGACAGCAGCGGTGACGAAAGCTCGGACATGTCCGACTCAGGCGGGCTCTACACTCGACGGAAGAATCACCACGACAAAGGTTGCTATACGATCCAGCACGCCATGCGCATCCGTATGCTCGAGATGATGGACGTGCTATCCGACAAGGCTCTTCCCGACAGCCACAACGAGAGCACGCCTTTGGCCCGCTCCGCGCCGGTGCGCTTCGTGTGGGAGAAGACCCCGCGGCAATCGGCGCATAATGCAGCGATGAAACGGCGCGTAGTAGACGACATGCGCTCGGACAAGACGAGGAAGCGGTTTCGGCACGTGGCGGAGAAGGAGTTCACGAAGGCGACGGTGGACAAGACGTTCGACCAGTGCTTCACGACGATGAGGCAGAAGTATCGGGCACAGAGGGATGCGGCGGCGGCTGGCAGAGATCGGCAGAGAGAAGACAAGAAGGCTAAGCGATCGAGGAGGCTAGGAAGGAAGAAGAATGTGAGTTGCTTCCTTCACCTATCTCTATCAGTCGCTCATGGTTATCACAGAAACTCAGCACGCGTATAGCAGCGAGGAAATTCCGCGCTGAGTTGAACGATCCGGCGTTTGACGCTGTGTTCCAGGTGGAATGCATGTCGTCGGAGGAGAGCGTCGACGGAGACGACGATTCCGATGCGGGCTCGGTTTGGAGCGCGTTCCCGGATGCCCCTCGAATTGTGCATCTGCGCGCTCCGACATGGCGGTCCTCGCGCCTGGTTCACTTCCTCGGGATTCTCGACGAATACGGAGACAAAGTACGGGACCAAGAGAAGGAGAAGAATGCGAAAAAGCGGGTAGCGGCCCCGAGGACGAAGATGCGCGGACCGGCGAAGGAGAATTCTCGTCCACCACCCGGACTGCAGCGGTGGATGATCAGCAAGCGTTGGCTGGCGAGGGTGGACCTGAACACCATCGATTTGCAACTGGACGGTGATGCTAGTGGGACTGTACGCGACGTTGACTGGTCGTTGTTAGGACCAGAAAGCGATGCGGAGAATGGCGATGGTGGTCATTAGCAATGTACATGCTCGCGATGAGGGTGATGTCCGCTGAAGCGTCGATGAAACTTCGGCCAGCCACCCTCGGACCCTCGCGTGCTCCCGGGCTGTTCACCGCTGGGGTTCATTCAATTATCGCCTGCATAACCAGCACGCTTGTCTGACTGAGGAGAAGAGTAGCTCAACATTGGTCAACGCAAGGTGCGATCAGTAGGGAGGTAGGTAGGTTGGTTGGTTGGTAGTTTTAATCTGCGCGGCCACAATACCGAAACAGCCGGGCCCCAGGGCCTCGCACTAGTTGCGAGCCGGGACACCCTGGTCTACACGGTTCCCGTCCGCCCTATGAGCCAACACACCGCTTCGACCAGAGGGTGTATGATTGCATGAATGTGTATCGTACTGTATGTCCTACCCCAGTCCTGGCCTCTTCAGGCCACTACCTGCACTATGATCAATCCATGTCGTTGCGTTAAAAACCCAATCACTAGAACCCAGTGGGAAAAAAGTGGTACGGGAAAAGCGTCCTCGATGAACTGAGCACCATAGTCACGGATGATGTGGGGGAACTCACATCATCCGTGGAGAGCGGATAACGGTATCGTTTCGCACGCCTCATACAGTGGGTCACAGGTCGTTTAGACGCCAAATCTTGTGCGGCCTCCCGACTCCCTCACACGGTACCGTACCTCCAAAAAACATGTACCATCAAAGATATATGCCTTGAAATAACCCCCTGAATTTTTTTGAGCTGGTACCCTTCTTTGAAAGAGCTCCAGGAGCTTGGGAAAGCGTGGGAATGGTTTTGACCGTTACTACTCGTTTAGACAGGGTCCCACGGTTACTTTCCCTTGATACCGGATGTTACTGCCGTAATGTGGGAAACAGGTGGCACTGCCACTCAGTGCAGCTGCCAGGCCATGAGAAGAATGTAACACCTTCCCTGCAATGAAGAGAAATCCGTTGGACACAGGAACAAGCATAAAGTCACTTTGTATCCCAGAGAGTCACCCAGTCCAGGTTTCATGTCGATAGAGCTAGTTTTCATGGCACAAGGGATGGAGTAAAATTGGTGTCCCACAGCCACAGCCCTGTTCGCGATTTTTCATGTCTGGGTTAGGAGCCCTACTGTTCTAAAACCTACATAAGAATGTCAAGATATACTACCTCCACCCCCATAAAAAGTCTGAGGAGCAACGGAACAGTGACTGCTGAGAAAATGGCCACTGTCTAAAGGAGAGGTGGTGTCTAGAAGACCGGTGACCCACTGTAGGCTCATACCTCCGCAGGGGGCGGAGTGTATGGGTAGTAACTACGCATCGATAGGCGCCCAAGACGGACATTAGACCAGATTTGCAGCTGGTTTTTTCCCAAAATATGGTATGTCTGCACCGCCGACGTAGTCCTTCTCACGCTTTGCCACCAACGCGGATGTACCGGGTGTAATACTTTTGGGCCCGCCCGCTAGTATATCCTACGTGAACTTTGTAATATGAGCTTTGCCAGCAATTCCACAGACATCCTGGTGCACACCCGTCATCCATGCCTAAACATGATCTAGCTGTCCTTCTCCCTTGTGCCCTCAGTGTTTTGACATACCTGAGACCACCACTTCCCCTGCCCAACAGCCTTTTGTTAGGTCCCAACGCGACCACGCTACCGGACGAGTTATCCACCGATTTCAGCATATCACGACGGGCAAAGCATAGACGTGTGTATGTCCAACACCGTGCAAGTCCAGCTGGTATTCGTATAACACGAAGATGGTTGGAAAACATTGGGGATGACTACTGTCTTGCAGAATTTCGGTATGTACCTGCCCTCATCTTCCTGTATCGTACTTTCAGTCACTGACACACATGACAGCTTTACTGCCACTGAACTCTTGGACCTTGTGGCCGCGCTAGAAATACCCGAGACTGTGATCACGGTGTCTCGCCATCGATTCTCAGCCCTCGAGGCTTTTTGCCTCCTTTGTGCCCGGTTTCGCAGCGCTGCAGACTTACATGATCTTATGATCAAGTATCGACGAAGCGCAGCTGCACTGTCTGAAGTAGTAAATCAACTAGTTGTTCATCTTGATGACATGTGGGGGCACTTACTCGGGCTCGACAACCACGCACTACTCTCCCAAGACCGTCTCAAAGTTTATGCAGATGCAACTTTGCGCGCCGGTTCCGTGGTTCCCCATATTTGGGCCTTCATTGACTGCACTATCCGTGCCATATGCCGACCAAGCAAACATCAACGGCAGGCATATAATGGTCACAAGAAGTATCACGCTCTCAAGTACCAAGCTCTCGCCCTCCCAGATGGGCTTATTGGCCATCTCCACGGACCTTTGGAAGGTCGCAGAGGTGACGGGTTTCTGCTCAGCGACAGTGGACTGCTGGACTGGTGCTCCGAACATGCAAAATGCCCAAGCATAACCTCAGGCTCGGGCAACGGCACGGACAACAGCACGAAGGACACATATTACCGGTTATACGGGGACCCCGCGTATGGACTCAGTGACGTGCTCATTAGTCCATTCTCAGGTCCAGGAGAGAGAACACCAGAGGAGCGGGAATTCAACGAAAGAATGTCTTCGCTACGCATGGAGGTTGAGCACACGTTCGGTAACGTACTCAACAAGTGGGGGTTTCTCCGGTCAAAAAGCAAGATGAAGGTGTATTCTTCTCCAGTAGGACGTTACTATCGTGTCGGAGTCCTTTTAACGAACACCATGAATTGCCTTCGACCAAATCAAACATCCCAGTTCTTCCTGTGCTCGCCTCCTAGTCTTCGTGAATATCTCCATCATTAAAATTGGGCATATATAGACATAAAGTACAGCAGCTGTAGGAGCTCTAGATCTCATGCTCGTCGTTATCATAGAAAGCAGAGTGATGCTTGGGTGACTCGGAACTGTTGTCTGATATCTGAGCCGGAGAGGGTGCCTGAGACGCTAC